GCAAGCATAAGGACCCAAGTTAGATCCCCGATACCAAAAAATAACTAAATAAATTTTTTAAATAAATAAATAAAATGATACTCAGGCCAGGTGTGGTGGTGCATGCCTGTAATCCTAGCACTCAGTAGGCTGAGGCAGAATGATTACCACAGGTTCAAGGCCAGCCTAAACTAAAGAATGAGACCCTGTCTCAAAAAAACCTAAATAAATAAAATGATACTTGGACATCCCAAGTCTCAAGAATGACCATCTGTTTGAACAAGGGCCCTCAAAAACATATTTTAACTCAGGAGGCTGAGGCAGGCGGATCCAGCATGGGCTGCATAGTGAGTTCAGGGTCAGTCTGAACTACAAAGGGAGACCCTGCCTCAAAAACAATTTTTTTTAAGTAAAATTTGCTCAGCCTGGTGATGCATACCTGTGTTCCCTGCATTCAGAAGGCTGAGGCAGGAGGATTGCCACAAGTTCAAGGGCAGCCTGGGCCACGTAGTTCAAGGAAACCTGGCCTACATAGGGAGACTCTGTCTAAAAAAAAAATCAATTTTGTACTGATGCAGCATTAGCCATAGGTAAGGCAAGACTAGAGGCCAAGGAGCTGGGAAAGGAGGTGCCTTTGTCTTTTCTCTTTTGGGGGTGGGGGAAGCGGCTGGGAATGGTACCCAGGACCTTGCACTAAGCACACATTCTCCCTCAGAATACCACCCTTACCCCAGAGTTGTCATTTTAAGTCTTGCCAATTAGCCAGTGCCCAGGCTCTGTAAAGGTAGAAAACAACCCAGTCCCCTCACCACTGCCCTTGGTAAAAGATCAGTTTGGGAATCACAGCTTTTTAAAACATTTTCAGGAAGCATAGAATTTTTTATTAAATACCCTATTCCAGAAGTGATTTTATAGTGAGGTTAAGAATTATATTATTTAATTTTATTTTACTTTATCTTTGGGTTATTTTTCTAATCTTATTTCTTACTCTTGGAAGTCTGATATTCATCAAAAAGACCCTGAATTCTTCAGCAACGTTGTTGCCAAGTAAAAACCCAGTAATAAGAGAAGAGGGAGCAAGATATGAATTAAGAAGATGCTTTTGCATAGAACCTTAAGATCCAATCTTTATTTAGAGTGTTTTTCTTTCCAAAATCATGGCTACCTCCCTGACCTCTCTGCAGTAAAATTTTACACATCTTGTATTAGGTCAAGGTAATGCTCACTGGGAGAATGATTTGAATTTATTCACCCCAAGTCTTGTAACTGTTGTAACTGAAAATTAGATGGTCGGACTCAACAGTTTTGGAGTGAAACTTATACAACATTGTGAACAGAGTGGACTGATTTCACAGTGCTATGATGAGATAACCAGGCGTGAATCCCAGCACTGGAGGCCGAGAGAGAAGGAGCATGGCAGGTTCAAGGCCACCCTGGGCTACACCGTGAGACCATTTTTCTTTCTTTCTTTCTTTCTTTCTTTCTTTCTTTCTTTCTTTCTTTCTTTTTTTTTTTTTTTTTTTTTTTTTTTTTTTTTTTTTTTTTTTTTTCTTGAGACAGGGTCTCACTATGTAGTTGAGACTGACCTGGAACTCACTATGTAGCCCAGGCTGGTCTCGAACTCACAGTGATCCTCCTGTCTCAGCCTCTTTGCGCTTGTGAGGCAGGTGGCAGAACCACTGAGCTAAATCCCCAGCCCCCGTGAGACCCTTTTTCAAAGGACAAGAGACGACAAATGACAAGATGGACCATGCCCCAGGGATTCAGTAACTGCGGAGTCCTGAAGAGTGAGGAACTTGTTGCTTAATGCTATCGCCTTCAAAGAATTTAAAAGGCTTGGAATGCCAGGGCCCCTGAGATGAAAGCCCTGAGAGTTGACTGATTGTGTCTCATTGGCTCGGCGTAGCTCTAGGAGAGTAAGACCTGGCCTAGGGAGGATTGTCACAAGAATGGTATAAGAGGGCGACAGAGAAGGAAGGCTCGCTTCTGTCTTCAGAGGAGCCTCAGTCTTCACCTGCACCTTGGATGTCGTGTCCCGGCTTCCAGTTCAGACCTTTCAGCCTCCCGATACGAACTTGCAGGGAAGAGTACGCAGAGTTCCAGGCCTTGACTGGACCCTTCAGACCTCCAGCACACAGGCAGACCTTTTTTGCGCTCTTCCACCCCCGGCTTTGTGGGTGGCATCATGAGCCAATCTGTAAATTCTTTTCTATTCGATATATCTTGCATCCTGTCTGTCTGGGTAGTAAACACTGAGTTGTACAAAAGCGAAGCCATAAAACACTGGAGGCAAACTCTGTCAGGTGACTACCGCAAGCCACACACTGAAGAAGAGGGGAATCACTGCGCCTCCTCACGGGGTAATTCATTGTTCAGGAACAGTCACATCAAATCAGTCCAAAGGTAATTTGATTTTGTTCATGCAGAGAAAAGCTAAAATCAAGAGAGTTGAGAAATGCAGTTGTAACCCATGAAACTATTAGAAATGCTAATTTGAACCATGGCTTTAAAAGACAAGTCTGTTTTTAAGCTCTGTTCACCAAGGTGGCTCCAGAGTAACCTTAGTCCAAAATGTGCCCTACTGCTCAGATCCCAGTGTGTGACACTGTTTTTCCTGTTCAAAGGAAACCAGAAACGGCTGAGCCTGGTTTTAGGAAATGCCAGATAAGGCAGCAGAAAGCCGAGAAGCTGCAAAAATCAGAGGCCATCAGAAGGATACAGAAGCCAGGTGTGGTAGTGCATGCCTGGGACCCCACAATCCAGGAGGCTGAGGCTGAAGGATCAAAAACTAGAGACCAGCCAGGGCAGCTAAGCAAGACCCTGTCCTGTCTCAGAAAAAAAAAAAAAGGCTCAGGATGTAGCTCAGCATTCCTTGGATTCAATTCCCAAAACTTCCAAGAAAAAAAAAAAAGGACATAGGAGACAACCTGAAACTGCTTCCACTGGTCAAACTAGTACGATTTGAGTGGCAAACTGACATACGTCAGAGTCCGTGGGGATGGATCCTCAGTACAAGCCAGGGTACAAATGTGCTACCACCAAGTCTTGTTATTTGGTTGTGTTTGTAGTGTTAATTCATTTATTGTGTCAGTGAGCACTGGCAAGTTGCAAATACTTCCTGTAGAACAGAGTTCCTACCTAATAGCACACCAGTATGGGGTCTGCGTAAAGCAGTCTTTCTGACTACTTGCTGTGACCCCAAAGCACAACAAACAGGGCAGAACCAGAATTCACACCACTCTGGTTTAAGCCTCTGACAGCCACATGGCCCTAAAGTATGACAGTTCTTATTACAAGATTTCTTTGGGACCAAAAATGCGACATTGCCCACCCACTGGTCACTTAGCTGTCTCCATTTCCACATCACTGTCGAAGTAGCCCCGAGGCTGGATTCAGGTAACCCGCTTCCCCCCAGGCCCCAGGGAGGGGCGCTGCCAACTTCATCACAGCGGGTTATTACAATTGCTGTCTTTTGTTGTCACTGCTCACCTCTGGCTGTGCCCGGTTTGTACACTTCCTTATAGACGCACGTGTAGGGGCCTGTGTAGGATTCAGGCATGCCTGCGGGGATGAGGAAGGACCACTGTGATGGTCTGCCTTGACCAGGGCAGGGTCTTGGTGCTGACCCTGAGGTCGCAGATTACCGGCAGAATGCCAATATGCGGGACCTTCTGTCTCATCAAAGACTCTGGTGGAAATTATCTCAGCCGGTGAGGACAAACGGTTTTCCTAAAGGGCACCCAGCTTCTTGTCCAACAAAACTTTGAGTTAAGTATAGAAAGGCTTGAAGGAAGCAAAGCCTTAGATTTACATTTTGGGGTTAATAAGCCACCCATGCAGATTGGGTATTGTCATTGAAATGTTAGGAACTGGCTATTGTAGGAACAGCCTTGTAACTCTAATTTGAAGTGAGTACTTCTGAATCAGAGTTATGCAAAGTTTATGAGCAGCACTGAAACATTCAGGTGTCAAGTTTGCTGTACTGACGCACCCCGAATCTGCTGGATTGGTAAGAACTGTATAATCAGGCACCTGGAGGACAAAATGGAAATGAAATTTCAGAACTCTGTCTGAAACAGGTGTTCACCGCATCTGTCCCCTCGAAGGTCTCTTCTGATGAAGGTGAGCAGTTTTAACCTGAAGAAGTATGGGTGTGATGTAGGCGTGTGGACAGCAAGTCTGAGAGGACGGGAAAGACATCGGCCCCTCTACATAAGGCAATGCTACGAGTCATCAGTGGGAAGAGGGGCGTTCTCCGTGGATCACAGACCCTTAGTGTTTTCCTGGGCAGCCAGTGAGCCCTCTCAGCCTTGGAGGTCGCAAGACCGCAGGGTCCACTTTCTCATCCTCCACTGGGCATCCCGAGGACTCCCGGCCCTGACTGCAGGCCACAAGGCCCCTACTGTCCCCAGGCTCCTCTCTGAGGAGGACAGCACCCCCCAGGCTGCAGCCAGGAACCCCAATACCTGCCAGGTGGAAGCTTTCAAGATCCAAGGTGCAGTGAGGGCCCCCTCCTGCCCTCCTGCAGCACAGTTCTTAATTCAACACACAGTAACCCAAATGCCAGACAATAAATAAGGACAAGTTGAAATCTGGGCACGTCAGAGGAAAACTTAGCCAAGCAAGGGAAGAGTGGATCTCAAAAACGACACAGATCATTTCGAGTCAGAACAGGTGGATAGAAGGCAGCAGAATTTTTTTTTTTTTGGACCAGGGATCGAACTTGGGTCCTTGCGCTTGCAAGACAGGCCACTGAACTGCTGAGCTAAATCCCCAGCCCCAGCAGAATATTTTCAAGATAACACAGCTGTCATCCACAGAGAGGCGCAAGTTAAAACCAGAAAAAAAGCTGTTTTCGGAGAGACAACATCTAAGGTACTACTGTATATGCAGACTCTGACTAAAGGATGCAGTTTAATAGGAAGAAAAGCTAAATCAGCCCAAAAGTAGATGGGGAAGGCACTGCGTGTGAGAGCGAAGAGGGTCCAGACATAGGTTTGCTTTGCATTTTATTTTTTGTGGTGCTGAGCAAGGATCCCAGGGCCCCATCCATGCCAGGCAAGTGTTATACCACCGAGCTATTATCCCAGTGACTTGGGAGGCTGAGGCAAGAGGATTGACAGTTCAAGGCCAGCCTGGGCAACTTAGTGAGAACCTGTTTCAAAATAGAAATTAAAGGGCTGAGGGTGTAGTTAATTTTTAGGGTGCTTTGGGTTTGATCCCAGTACCCCTACACACTTAAGTACACAAAGCTGAGTGCCATGGTCAGTGGCTGGAGTCCCCAGCTATTCAGAGGGTTGAGGCAGGAGCATCATTTGAGCTCGGGAGTTCAAGGCCAGCCTGCACGACATAGCAAGACCCCATCATCTCTAACTTCCCCTTGAGCTCTAAGATTCTGGGATTCGAATACACTTCCAACATGATTCAATACAAAAATGTGATTTACAGTGAACTTTCCTATCCCTGGAACTTAGCACCGGACCTGAATACTGTGGGTGCTTGATAAGTGTTTTTGGAACTGAGCTGTCTCCTGCCTCCATTTGTTGAGTGAGGTGGAACTGTAGTCTCTTTTGCCTCCTCGTCCACCAGAGAGCGAAGTGTTCTCAGTTGAAAGCAGTTCATCTTCATCCAGCAGAGAGAGTGGACCCCGATGTCCCAGGCACAGAAATACTGGGTAGCAGATGGGAGTCACCATCCAGGACCTGCCAGGCAGGGTAATGACCACAGGCTTCCCCCACCCCCACCCTGAGCTCTCAGAAGCCTGCACACCACCTCGGGATGTGAGGGGCTGCACCTGGGTGCTTCATCCTCAGCAGGGTCCTGTCCATCTCTCTCTGGAGGGGAGGGGATAAGGCAGTCTTGACTAGGGTGATCCTCCTGCCTCAGCCTCCCAAGTGCTGGGATCACAGGTGTGCACCACCACACCCCATGTCTGTCCTGCTTCTTGATCGAAGGTTTCACTTTTCTAGGGCAAGGAGAGGGAGGGATTTAGGAGGCCAAATGAATGAATGTGAAAACTGACTAAAAACCTTTACACCCAAATGAAAAGAGCGTTATCCTCCGTGTCCTTCCCTGCAGTCCAGCGCTGAGATTGTGTGGGTCCCAATTTGTGTAGTGGAGCTAGAGGCCAGTCAGACATCCTGGGTCCGGGTCCCACCTCTGTCCCAACTCGCCAAGGTACACGAGAACACGTTCAGTGCCTTAGAAACTTCCCTGGTGGCTGACAGTACCCGGCATCCGCCACTGAAAGGAGGAGAGGTTGGTTCGCGCTCAGGATTTGTAGGTTTCAGTTCATGGTCAGCTGGCTCCAAGGCAGGAAGGGTAGAAGGAAGCAGATCAAGGGAGGAGGGAGGAAGATAGAGCTCTGCCCCGGCTCCATCCACTCACAAGTCTGTCACACCCACGATCCAGTCACCGCCCCCCTCCACAGCCCCACCTGGGAGGGCGTGAGTCTTCAACGGGACGTCCAGGAGTAATAGCGCCCCCTGGTGCCGGGGTGATGGGGACCGCCCACTGGGACAGCGCGGGCCGTACCTGCTGACCACAGGAGCGCTGCTGCGGCCGACATTGGTGCGGCGCCTCTTCCGCGCCTCCTTGGACAGAGCAGATCTGGCTCTGGGAAGCAGAGAGGGAGCTCTTTCCCAACCACGAAAGGGTTCTTAGGCCCAGAAAAAAGCCTGTCTGCCTGGAAGTCGGCCACCACGTGTCGGTTCCAGGGCCAGAGTCCCTTTCACCCGGAATCCTTCGGGCAATGCCTCTCCCACGCGGGGGAGATGTGCAGTGAAGCCAGCTTCGAGGCCTGGCCTTGCTGCTTTATCGCCTCCCTCAGAACACCAGAGAACAAGAACCCGAGGAGGTGCTGCGCACCTGCAGCCGAGCACCCTGGGAGGCAGGAGCGCTGAATTTAGTGACGCAGTAAGACCCTGCCTCCGAATAAAAAACAAAGCGGAGTGGTGGTGCTGCTGGCACTGCAGCTGTTCTCCTAGGCACTGAGACCCCCATACTTAGGGAAAGACAATTACTGCTTAAAAGGAAAAGAGTTGTACCTGCTGTAAAACTTCATGGGCCGGGCACGATGGTGCACACCTGTGAGCCCAGCACTCGGGAGGCTGAGGCAGGAGGAGCGACATGAGTTTTGAGGCCAGCCTGACTACAGAGCGAGACTCTGTCTCCCCCAAATCAAAAGAAATACTAAATATATATAAATATTTGTTGCTGGAAAGACTCCAGCAGGAGCGTTGCACACAGCCTGTCGGTTCCGCTGGCGGTCCTGCCCCCGCAGAGGCACCAGGACAGAATCTGCTCGCGGCGCCTCAGCCTCCCCTGATGTCCTCTGATGCCCCTTGCTTTGCGGCTCACCTCGGATTTTTAAAACCAGATAAAAGCAGAACGTATGCAAACCCCACTCTTAACCAAATGCCCTGGAACTGGCTCATCGTAAAATGTCATTGCGAAGAAGCAGGCCAGGACGGTGCCGCGCTTGTAAAATAGGCCGGTCCCTGCCCAGAAAAGGCGGGCAGCAGGGGAGGCAGCAGGATGGGAACTTGCTCCGGGCAATTTCCTGGGAGATTTCCCCCCCACCTCCAGCATCTGCAACAAGAAACCAGCCAAGCCTCCCTGTGCTGAGGAAACCACTTGGTCTATAAATAACTGCCCCAGGGGTAAACAGCCAGATCCCAGGCAGGACTCAACGCTGGCGCTGGCGATCCGGCAAGTTCTGGGGAGCCCACTGCCCTGTGCGCGTCCCCAGGGACTCCTGGCCACGTGTGTCCCAGGAGGGGTCGGCTCCAGTACCTTCAGGCTGGGCCACCGCCGGGCCACTGTCCCCAGCGGGTCTGCCGGGACACTGAAGGGGGGAGCTCACCAAGGACAGAGCAGGTGACAGCCTGGGTCAGAGCCCGGCCAGACCGCGTAGCGGGGAAGGGGCCGCGTCGGGGTCCCCCTGTGTGTGGGCCCCAG